TTCAGCTTCAATGTGATGGTGTACAGAGGCCAAATGCCAAAACAGTTATCCTTGTTCCAATATTTCTGGTCCTGACTGTAAATCATTTGGGTTCTTAACCAACAACACAGGTTCATCTGCCTATGGAAGTACACACTCATTCACATTGCCAGTCAATCCACCTCTTACTCTTACTACATTCAGCAACCAGCCTTTAATGCCATATCTACACACACACACACACACACTCACAAAATCATAATTCAAACCTATTCACTTTCTCATAACACTTCCACTAAATCAGCAAATGTGACATAAACTTTCTTTCTCACATCACTACAATTGTCAACAACCTGAAGAGCAAAAATTTAGTCTGCTTACCCCTGGCCTGGCATATACACTTCCCAAATTTTGCTCACTGTCACCTCTTTTAATCAGAATTCTGCTAAAAACCTTTCCATGCATGTTTAACAAATTGTGTTTTTTTTTTTGCATTCACTCTTGCTACCTTAACTTTTTTTTAGGGAAACAATAACAACATTTTTCCAATTATTAGACACAGATGCAGTCTTGACACACATGTTAAATCATACATTTGCTCCCTAAGCAAACTACACCTGTATTTTAACATTTCTTCAGTTATTCCATCTATACCTCCATTCTTACTGTTTTTCAACATACAACATTTATAACCTTTTCATCATTTTTCCTTGGACAGGAATATTTATTGCATTTGATTGAATTCCATTCTTTGATATGTCTCTACCATTCTCATACAAATCTCTCAAATAACATATTCCCTCACTTCAGTTTCAGCCAAAATAATTTCTTCCCTTTTGTCATAATCTCATCTATGCTCTCTGAATATCTGCTAGATATTCATTATTTAGCCCTCTTCTAAAACAATTTTATTTTCATCAGAATCTGCCTGTGTTTTCTCTGCTTTTTTAATCTTAACTGTTCTTTATTGTCTCTGACTATTCTTAGGAATGATCTTTTTCGTTGTATATAATCTCTCATCCACATTTTTGCAGCAATCATTTCTTATATGAATTTCTTTTTCTCATCCATAGCAATGTTTACCCCATCATTTTCCCAGGCATCCTTTTTCATATTTCCTATTACTGTAACTCCTTCCAAGGCACTTTGTAATACAATCCCTTTTACACTTTTCCAAGCAGCTTCAACATCATGCTTCTTTACATCTATTTTTCATTCATCTGTGTTCTAGATGGAGTATTTATCTATGTTCTAATATTTTTTCCATAAAAGTATGGAATACTTTCTCTTGCTGCAGTCATTCTACTTTCATTGTAGATTCTTTACTTTCTTCCTCTTTTTGATAGGTAGAACCTGGGTTCATGAGAAGAGATAAGGACAGGAACATTTTTGTAAAGTCCATACCTGATTGCCTCCCATCCCATGACAGGGATACATAATCAATGGCTTTCCACCATGGTTGTTTTCTCCAACATCCAGGCAGCGCTTGGCGCCCTCATTTCTAATCTGTAGTGGAATAGATTTAATAGAATTAGGAGCATAGTAACAGCATCCATAGAAAGCTTCAGGTTTTAGCTAAACACCTTGGACAGAGTATTTTTTTATTCTGCACTCTTCTATTAAACATGTGTAATCTTATATTTCCCTTCTCAGCTCAGTTTGCCTTCTAACTGGCTCACATTAACAAGAACCAATTCATAACCCTTTTAGGAATTCGAGTATTTATGAACATTAAGTACTTAGCCAATGGCAATGGCAGTTTGAATGGGAAATGCAGAGCCAAATAAAGATATATTTATTTCCCCGGGCCTTTCAATCAGCTGTAAGCCCGTTTGAGATTGCACTTGTAAGACACCCTGTGAATATATCAAATACCTTGAGTCCCACCAGATTGGGCTGCAAAGCCCTAAATGAGCACTAGATGGCAACAAAAATATATAGAAAGCTCATTCTCTGCTGACATTTGGTGGTCATCCAGGCTTTTGCAGCCAGTAACTCACGTCTTCCTCACCAGTTGGCTGGACTACTCAATACACTCTGCATAGGGCTGCCTTTCAAGAGGGTACTCAGCAGTTGCAAGTGGGTCAGAAGGGAGCAGTCACAGAGCTGGCGGGACAACGCCATCACTGCAGAATTAAACCCATGTTAAGGATGCTGCATTAATGACTAGTAGACTTCTGTATTATCCAGCCATGCCTTTGACTCAAATTGATTATGAATTCCTTATCTCAGGTATGTGTACTTCTATTTTATTTTTGTTTACTGTTTCTATTTTACTCATGCTTTGTTCACCCATAGTGGCTTAGCAAATTAGCTTTTTAAAGGTGATACTAACAATGATGATGATGATGATTTTAAATTAAAAAATAAATGGAAACTTAGCATGCTCTAAAACTAAGTGCCAGCCTGTAGTATTAGTTTTATTTACAGGAGTGCTTCTAGGCACCACACTCTTAGAAATTAAAAATGCCCAGTGTTTTGTTGGGCTTGTCTAGAAAAAAGACAGAGACAAGCTGTAGAGGAGAGGAGAGAGGTTAAAATGGATGGTGAGTGGAACCTCATTCATTGGTTTTCTGGCCATGTCCACTGTGGCAGTCATTTTGCAAAAAGGCAAACCTCCCTGTGGGAGCCATTTTTGAGAGCAGCCCTGACATTTTGTTAAGTCGATGTCTTATATAAGCATTCGTTTGACTAGAAAACAAAAAAAGGACTCTTTTCTAAGGTCGTATTAGATGAGAACACTAGTAAGGCGTGTAGTGACAAGAAAATAACCAGCTTGTCCTGCCTTTTCCTAACCTCATTAAACGTCTCTTAAGCATAGACTGTGGGCTTCACACAAACATACACTGCTCCTGTTATAGCTATGGTGATCGTATTTTCTTGGAAAAAATAAAGGACAAATCTGAAAAAGGGGCAAATCTGAAAGAGGTTCATAAAGATAAAAAAAATCTAATTATTTATGTTTATGACTTTGCTTTACAAAGGAAAATTCAAGAGCAAAACCAAGAAAAACTACAAAAACCCATATTCTAATAAAAATCATAAAAAGCTATGAAGTTATATAAGAAGCAAGTATTAAAAAGGATTTCTGCAATCAGACTGCATTAAGTGGTACCATTTGTGCGGTAAAAGCTAAATGACCAAAAACAAAAGGACAAAAGTGAGTGTTTGAAAAATAAATAAATCTAGCTTTCTGAAATAAAGAACTGTACCAATAGAAGAGAATATATGAAGCTCAGGGTTGAACTGTGGAGTCCTTGTTACTCTCTGAGCTTGGTTGTTTGCTTGCAGACATTTCATTACCCAACTAGGTAACATCATCAGTGCTAGTGA